TTCCCGTTCAGAGAACGAACCTGACTTTATGAGTACCATTCGAGACATCTCGTTAATCAGACTATCGACCCACATTCTGGGTTCACGACCGTTATTTTGGATATAGATTTATGTCGTTGTCTCAACCACTTGAAATTCCTAAAGTGACCAAAGCAGGCTAGGAACTGAAAAACTGTGTTGATTTAGTGCAACCACATTTTCATGGCCGTTCGCCAAATCGTTGGTTGTCATATGTAACTGGCGTAGCCGTATTTTAAAAGTAGGGACTGACAAGGTGTTTTAGAAAATATTAGAGATGTATTGCCAAAGAATCTGTAATTCCTTGAGATTTACAGTAGTTTCAATCCACACTTTTCAATTAATAGCGCACAATAATTCTTGTTGAGTAATTTGGTCAACTAACCATATCTCGGACATGACTTCCGGCCTGGTGAGCTCCGTCATGATCATAAATAAATGGAACATTGAGTTACCTAATTCAGGTAAAAAACTCTCGCTGAACTGGAGAGTCGATGAGATTCTCATTGCCCCGGGGGAGGGGGGATCTCATAAGAAAGAACGGGGTGCTCTCGTACCTTTTAGAGGTTAAAAGAGCGGGTTTGGTACAACTTAGCGTGTTCAGCCTAAAAAGGTCCACACCCTGAGATTTCGCGGTACCTTTTAGGGTAGTGAACCGAAAAAAGTGAGCGTCAGTTGGTGTGTTGCTTTAGAATTGGTGCCTTATAGGGCTGACAACATTTCAAGCCCCGCCCACAAAACAGGATCTTGGTACCTCTTAGGGGTTGTTTTCAAAATTTCCGCCGAGCACCCCTGTCCTTTTTACATGGGAGTCCCTGACGGGCCCATTGCCCGCACTGGACTCTTAGGTGGTGGGTTATAAGGGAAGGAGGAAAATCATAATATACAAAAAAAAAAAAGAGAGAGCGAGAATTGTCACAGGTAGCTGAAGCCGACTCGCATATACCAATGATAAATGACGTCCGCTTGTGAATAATGAAGTCGCACGCGGTAAAAAAGATACGTCAAAAATTCACTATGTGCTTGTGTACTTTTTTTGTAAAGTTAAAAAAAAAATTGAAAACAAGGATACACTGAAAGTTTCAAAGCACCCATAAAGGTATGCTAAAGTGCACATGCCATGACGCGGTTTCTGTTTACATGGACAGTCGAACCAGCTTTCAGGTGTGCGTTTTCATCCTTCATAAGGGAACTGGGTGTCATGTCTATAAATAACTTGAGAGCGAGAGAGGATGAAGGGAAAGGGCTTTAATCCTCGATATAGGCCTCATTTCTGTGTTGAAGGCTGGTAAGGGGTCTCAGCGGAGCGTGCTGGTGCCATCAGGTACGCTTCAAAAATGCTGAGAAACATCATCATCATCATCATCATAGGCTTCATTTCTAAGTTATCACTCCTAAGTTACTTGAGAGCTCTCCAGGCTTCAGAAATTCCGAGATGGCCTGAAATAGCCAATCCTATGACGTGCATTTTGCTCAAGTAAACAACCTCAGCAACGCGCGTGGTAGCTTTAACCGCGGGATCGAGAACTGGATGCATATCTAAAAATAAGTTGAGAAGAATTACCTTAAGAATTAGGCCTATATAGAGGATTAATCTCTTTTCTTTCATCCTCTCTTGACAGAACCGACCGTGGTATTAATTATCACAGATATGCAAGCTACTAATCCGCCCTCGCCTTTTAAACTGCTTTCCCTTGGTTCGGCGATTAAAATGCAAATCAGCTTCACTGAGAAATTTAAAATCATGAAGAGCCACACTTCAGTATTTAAAACTGGACAAATTAGCTGACGCGAAGGAAAGCTATTTATGAAAATCTTGTGACATATAAAATCAAGCTGATTGAAAGGTCTTCACCGAGCGTTTCTTCAGCTGTCCTTAATTTTCATCTTTTCTTTAACATTTTCCACCGAGGCTTCGATTTTCTTCCTAAGAATTTTCGCTCACTTTTAATAAGCGTTTAATAGGATAATAGTTTTTTTTTCTATTACTGTTTGGCTGAGTTGGAAAGAAACGTGGTTTTTCTTTTCACTACGCGGCGTCAACAACATTAGGAACTTTGTGAACACAAAAACATGGCAATTCAACAAATTTACATTATACAGAGTCTTTTTTGCTAGTATGAATTAGGGTTTATTCAGTTCATCACTACTAAAAATGAAATAGGTACATCGGTGTCATTTTGACAAAGTTTATAAGTCACCGTAAAGAAAAGCCAAACAGAAGGTTTTCCTCAGTACTCGAAGTTCCTTCCAGAAAAGTGTTCTGCGGAGATCGCGCTATTTATTAAAATTGTTTCAACATTTACTTTTGGTTTGTAAATTATATAAAATTCGCCCACGTTCGTTGCTCATTGTAATGTATTTAATATCCGATGTGAGTTAACAAAAAGGTTTTGTGCGATTTCTCGCAATTTACAGTGATAAACTCCCGAGGTAGCCACGTCGTGAAAATTTATAAGTTATCAGAAGCTAAGCCAGCTGACAAAAGCCGAAGGAAGCAGCTTTAACATTGGAAACAAGCGCGGAATAGTGTCAAGAATTTTCAAGAAAAAACAGTAAGTGGATTAGCTTTGAAGAAAAAATAATAACACGACGTTTGACTCTTCAGACGGTAACATGTCTAGAAAAACTCATTCCAAAGGTAGTGGAACCCTGTACGTATTTAGAAGAGTAATCCCTCTTTGTGAAAATATTACATACTTCAGTTAGCAATTTCAGGAAAGACGATCAGAGAGCTTCTTCGGGATTTGTTGTTGTTTAAGTCTAATAAAACAAAAACGCTAAAAATGTACCACTTCCTAAGAAAAGCAAGTTTATGAGCGAAATTATCGTCAACTCGAATTCATGACGAATTTGTGGTGACGCTTTTGACAGAACGCCTAAACACATGCCTCCTGTGTTTGTCGATGATTTAAAATGGCGTTGGAATATATTCAAGTTCACCGCAAAAAAATGTTCAAGTTCACTGACCGAATCCTATCACATAAAAAGTCGGATCTTTTTAGGATTTTTAGAGCATCAGGAGACTTATAGAAATTTTGGAGATTTTTAGAAAAAGAAAAGGGATTTATGGGGGATTTTTCAGTATGATTTTGAAGAAAGATTGTTCCATTTTCTTTGCCGCTGAAATGATAATTTTGTCCCATTGTTTACTAATTGGTGACTGCTAGACTGCAATCCAATTGTGCAGCGGTGTTTCCTGTTTCTAATGCATCCCATCATTCCAGATATCTCAATAAGGACCTGCCAACCCTTGGCCTAAAAGAAGCTATGTTACACACTGAGTACATTGGTCTTAGCGTAGCTTTCTCAATCATGGTCCTAATGGACCTCTTTGGCAACACAATGGTGGTCCTGGTGGTCCTTTTAAACAAGTCTATGAGAACACCCATGAACCGACTCATGCTAAACTTGGCCCTTGCTGACATGGTAGTGGCCCTTTTTGTTGCGATACAGTTCGTAATTGGACCCGAGTATCAGCACCCTTCAGGCACCACCGGCTCCTTCCTGTGTAAGTTCATTACTGGAGGGTGCATGATGTGGACAGCGGCTATGGTCTCCATATGTAATCTAGTTGTTATTTCCGTAGAAAGGTAATTCTTTTAGTTCTTTTATGAAATGTTTTAGGCAGAGTCGTGAATAATATCAACGACAAAGAGTTTTTCTCTTTCTCAGCCATGTTTTTCCCTATCCTAGCCATGTAGTCTTAGGCATCTAATTACTAGTCCATTACTAACTACTTAATAACCGAGAGTGAGGTCGTTACGGGAAAATCTCAAACTGAGGCCTTGCCGTATTGACCGAGCGATAGCGAGGTCAATACGGTAGGCCGAGGTTTGAGATTTTCCCGTAACGACCGAACGGTCGAGGTTATTAAGTTGTTTATTATATGGCTCATCAATAAAGAGAAAAATCATTCGAGCGGATGTCGTCAATTTACATCCGGCGATGCGCGCGTTTACCGATTCATTCATCGTCTCAAACCTAAGGCAAAACTATTGATTGTTTTTCACTAGTGCCCGCCAAGGTTACCGGCTGGTAAGTCAAAAACGACTTCTATATAAATTTCATTAAGGAAAAATCCCTAAACTTCTAGCTACTCGGAATTAAATTTACTTCTCTTACTGTTTTTAATCGGCTTTCATCGGGCTCTTCCTAATTTGCATAATCCGTAATCGGCCCGTGGGCATTACGGCTGCATAATGACCGCTCAGATTTCGCTCTTAGCCAATCAGAGCGCACGTTATATCGGCCAAAAGCCAAAGCCATATAATAAATAAGCTTTATTGGCTTCCTTGCCTTACAAGTCAATGTAAGTCTATACTTAGTAAATTTATGTCACGTTTCAAAATAAAGCTTTACCAATATAGGGGAGGGGGCAATGAACTGGCTGACTCACTGACTGTCTAATTCACGAACCGACTGTCTGTATATCTGTCTCTCTGATAGACGGATTGATTCATAAAAGGACGGTTGGACTGACTGACTGACTGACTGACTGATTGACTGGCTGGCTGGCTTGCCAAATGCCTGCCTGCCTACCTGCCTGCCTGCCTGGCTGTCCAACTGCTTGGCTGGCTGGCTGATCGACCCTAAAATGGTACCCTAAAATATGGCGATGTTCATGAAAAATTCAATTTCTTGGAAACACAAGACTTAAGACCCTTGAGGACTTGTCAAAAACATTTTGAAACGATCTTGCCGAATTTCCTTCCAGATGAGTGTGAAATTTAAGGAAAGTACACAGTGGTATAAGTTTTTTCATGTGGCAACGGCCATAGCAACGACTGTTTACTATAAGAACGTGACCAAAAATATAGATTATATTTAACTTATATGATCGAAACTATTTAGAAAAAACTTTTAAGACATGCACAACTCGATTGGCATAATTATTTGTGAAAAGCTTTACCTCAAATTGCCATCACAGGCTCATTCATTTCCCTTATGACAAGGAATATTTCCCACAACTGCAGTAACTTTTTACAAAATAGAACAACCA